CCCCCCAAGAAAGAATCTGAATGGAAAATTTATGGTTTTGATGAGATTAAAGCGTAAATCTTGTTTGGATCAACAGCCAGGTGATTAAGGCTCTAAGGCTCATGGGAAGTGGGTAAGGGGAGAGAGACTGCTTACCTAGCCCTGCCCCTCCAACCAGTATCCCCCTCCCCCAAAAAGGTCCCTGGAATGTTAAACTTACAAACCTAAGTCCATATAAATAAAAAAAATCAAGCAAAAAATTTAAATTCTCTTCTTTTCTTAAAATATCATACAGGGTAGGTTAACCATGCAGGTCTTTAAACGGGGACATGTCAAGATCTGTCTGAAAAGTAAGCTTCGTTTTAGAACAGCCAAGGGCAGGCTTTTCATTCATTAAGAACGGGTTGAATACTTTCTTATTCAAAATAATTCCAACTGTTTGGCAATAAAAAGGAACTTTAAAAATATTTTCCACACTGAACAGTGTCTTGGATTTAGCCTTTCTGACTTTCCTAGAACACATCTGATGGGGGACCCGGGGGGAAGCTGGCCCTTTATTCAGCTATTTTTTTGTTTTACAGCCAAACAATCAAAATCATTACTGCGGAGTCCATGCAAAGCCTCGAAGGATGCTGTTACCAAAGATAAAATGACACGATCAGCCTTCAAAATTAAAAACTGAAGGCTTAATTGACCTCTTTCCAAAATGGTTATGGCATGAGATTTAGAACTTGGACGAGCACAGTAAAAGCTGTCCCTCCCAGCATCTGCCTGCCGCTTGCAATCCACAGAGCCTGTCTCAGAGTCGAAGGAAAGCCCGTGAAACCACCGTCCCAATCTGACCACACCACAGTTCAAATGTGCCCAAAGGATGTTAAAGGTAGGCCTGTATACCTATGTATCTATCTATGCATCCACTATGTATCTACTATGTATCCACTATGTATCTACTATGTATCTATCTATGTATCTACTATGTATCTACTATGTATCTATATATCTATGTATCTATTTATGTATCTATCTATGTATCTACTATGTATCTACTATGTATCTATATATCTATGTATCTATTTATGTATCTATCTATCTATCCATCCATCTATATTTTCATTAGAAACGGGACCTAAAAATACCGTGGTATATATTATCAAAAACCTATACATTATCAATAACACAGTATCCACGTTTTTTAGCCATGTTGTTATCTCAGATGGAATTTAAGAGCATGTGAGCCAGAACACAGCTTTGAGTTGATCTAGGGGCTTGCAAGGGCTGTGCTATGTGAAGATGTGTCATAAACAGGATGCAGGAAAAGGGACCATGGTGGGGTCTCTGTGGACAAGGGCCGGAGGCCCTGGTGGTGGTTTTGGCACCAGCAGTCGCCCAGGCACCCACCTGTGACCACTCAGACGCTTCCCAGATGGACAGGCAGTCCTGGCCTTCGCAGCTCTGCACTGGCGCTGGCCGGGGGCCTTGGCAGTAGAGGGGCCGTGTGGTGACGTGTGTGCCGTTCTGCAGCTGGTACACGCAGGTCACCTCCCGATGCTGGATGCCCTTCTCACAGGTCGCTGAGCAGGGGCTCCACGGGCCTGCCACCCACCTGTCCAGAAGGAGGAAAGACAGCGAGAGGATCGCTGCACGGAGAGGCCAGCTTCCCTGGAGGGCCCGCCACACAGATCACGGAATCTTAGGCCAGCGGTACGAGGGAGGGAGACAGAGGCACAGAGCTCGGCAATGGACTCTGGAGATAATTTCAGCGTATCAGAGCAGAGGGAGCAAGCTGTGCACAATTTTTGTGTGGACGTATATTCTCATTTCTCTTGGTTATATACCAAGGAGTGAAACTGCTGGATCACATGTTAACTCTACGTTTAACAGTGTGAGGAGCGACGGACTGTTTTCCGATAGCGCTGCATGAAGGTCTCAATTCTCCATCCTCAGACAGTTTTGCTATCGTCTGTCTTTTTTATTACAGCCATCCCAGGGGGTATGACATGGGATGCCGGGGAGGGAAAGAGACTGGGAGTGGGAGGGGCCCAAGAGGGCTTCCAATGTGTCTGCACTGAAGTAAAGACGGCAACCACCAGGAAGATTGGTTAAAATCGGGAGGTACAGGCATGGGTGTTACCTAGTTAATCTCAGTACTTTTCTGTAAATAAGAAACATTTTATAGGAAAATTACTTACACAAATCAGAACCAGGCCAGCAGAGAGTCAGGGGTCCCTGACTGACTGACTGACACCACAAAGAGTGACCGTGACTGTGGTCCATGGAGAACGCAGGCCCAGCCTCAGGGCCGCCACTGGGTCCAGCCCACTGTTGCCATGGGGGTCAAGTGTGGCCACAGCTTTCCTTTTTCAAAGTAAAGCTAAAAAATCCAGTCTGAGCGCAACCTCCTGATTTTAAAATGAACTCTAAGACCTTAAGACGCCTCTGGGGGCCAAGCCCGGTCTGCTGTGGAATTCGGCCCCACGCCTCCAGTCCGGGACCTCACGCTTCACTGTTCTGCGAGGCAGCTGTGGCGGATCTGAACCTAACCCCAAGCGGCCACATGTGTATTTTCCTCTGACTCTCGCCTGAAGAGGCCACTGGGCACCATCGCTTGCCACATGGGCACCTGAGTCCTTGCGTTCTCCTTGGCTTTGGTCCCCATGCTCCTATCTCTCACACACGCAGGCACCCACATGCGAGCTTATCTCTTGGCTGCCTTACTAGGCTGGACCCAAGTATTTTGCCCTAAAACAATTAGAAAAGTTAATCATGTGGCATGGTTCTCCCAAGACACTAGTATGAGCGGGACCGGCCCGAAACGAGCCCCAAAGTCCTAAACTGAGTGGGCTGCAGAAAATACCCGGAGGCCTCAGGAACACCAGCAGGAGTCCCTGCCCGGCTGTCCCGGCTGCCCTGCCCCACGAAATTATTCAAAGTGAAAATACGCCAGCGGACCCCCCCGACACCCCACCCCACCGGCCGCTGCCCCATGTGGGCCATGATTTCCCAGAGCTCTCCGCAAAGGTCCCTAGGGCGGGTCTCCGGGCCAGAAGGAGCCGGCCCTGCACCTTCTGGAAGAGGGCGTGGAGGGGAAGGCCAGGCCGGCTGTGTGTTCAGGGGGACAGAGGCGGGGCTCCACGAGGACCTGCCTGGCGCTGGCTGCCTGCCNGCTCCACGGGGACCTGTCCGGCGCTGGCCGCCTGCCCCCGGGGCTCGCCTGCCCTGCGAGGCTCCGGCACCAACTTTACAAGAACAGAGTCTGCAGTTCCCCCCGCTCCCCACCCACGACCACCTCTAACGGCAAGCCTCATGTCTGTTCCTCGAACCCCTCCTGCCAAAGGTGCCCCCCAACTCCCCCAGAGCAGACAGGAGCCGGCAAGGCCCCTGGACTACAATCTCCTGAGTGACTTTCCGTCGTCTATTTTGCATCCCTGTGTGTTAAAAGTGGCGNCCTGGACTACAATCTCCTGAGTGACTTTCTGTCGTCTATTTTGCATCCCTGTGCATTAAAAGTGGCAGCCCTGCTGGTCGTGGCTCAGGGCAGCTGGCAACCCAGCACCCGCATCCAGCTCAGGGGCTGGCACCCTGCGGTGCCCACCTCCCTGCAGGGACTGAAATGACTGAGGGCCCTGAGTGGGCGTCACTTGTCATAATGGTCCCGTTCACACAACAGCTGCGACACTGGCAGCCACTTGCCTGACTGAGCCCACTGTCTCCCTGCTTCTCAGGTGCTGGGCGCTCTTGCCCCCCCCCCCC